GCGCACACAACAGTGGTCCCGGGTGCACCAAGCAGAAACCACCCAAAACCGGCTTGTCAAAACGAGAACACAGTAGCAATTTAGACAACCCAAGCACAACGCTGGAGTATACCATGCACATATTCACCAACCCACAATAAATCAAAGCCCCACGCTATATCTAATCATTTACACTTGGACCACCCCTTTAATGTGTATATTTGTTGTGTTTAATAGGTGAGGGCCAATGCGGACACACTGACACAGAATGTGAGATGGGAATACGCGAAGATGGTGCGAAATACTGGAGATCGACAATACAAAATGAGAAGACACCGTACGAAGGACAACAATTCGAAACAGTAGAGACCGTGATTGATTTCTTTGTGGAATACGCTAAAGAGGCAGGATTTGATGTTAGGCACGGCACAAAGTGTAGAAATCGGAAGGGGGAAGTGTCAATCAAATACTTGTTGTGCTCACGAGAGGGTTACAAAGCCGAAACAAAAGAATCCCAAAATAGCACAAAAGAACGAAAGAGACGAAGGAGAACGTCCAACAAGATAGTATCTACGGCACGTATGGTAATGACAAAGCGTGTCACAGGCGGATACAAAGTCCATGCAATCGAGCTGCGACATACACACTGTCTATGCTCAGACGCCGGCAAACCTTTTTTAAAGATAAATAGGCAACTCGACATCGGCCACAAAACCTTTTTGGCTCACTGTGCAAAGGCAAACATAGGTCCTACAAAAACTTTCAGACTATTCAAAGAGATGGTGGGAAGCTTTATAGATATAGGAGCAACATGCATTGAGTTCTGCAATTTTAGGCGAGACCTATTGGCCTATATAGCTGAGGCAGACGCCCAAATGGTGATAGAAGACATGTTCAAAAGAAAAGAGGACAACCCGGACTTCTATTTCGATTTCGACATAGACGAAAAAGCTCAATTAACTAGATTATTCTAGGCAGACGCACAATCCCAAAGGAATTATGCATGCTTCGGCGATGTCATGTCATTCGACGCTACATACAGCACAAACATGTACATCTCAGTATAGATTGAATACAAACACTACTGTGTGTGCATGCCTAGTAATATAGGTGTGCGCACATAATAATGCAGGTACATGCAGCGGAGTAAGTAAACAGACGAGCGCAATACTAACACCAACCGTGCTTACATTGCAGGTACAAGTTAGTGTTCGTCCCTTTCACGAGGGTGGATAACCACAAAAGATGCATAACATTTGGGGCAGGCCTGATTGCGAAAGAAGATGTAGAGTCATATGAGTGACTACTAACTAAGTTCAAAACTGCAATGGAATATGCGCCAAGATGTACTATAACTGACCAAGATCCTGCACTAAAGATAGTGGTACCACAAACTATGCCAACAACAAGGCACCGATTCTGTATGTGGCACATTATGACAAAAGTGGGGGAAAAGGTAGGGGTTGCCTTGTGGCACAATCAGGACTTCAAGAAGGCATTGAATAGTACTGTATGGGATGACACACTAACCATAGATGAATTCAAGAGAATATGGGAAACAATTACGAAGGACTACAACCTTACCGACAATAGGTGGTTTGCCCAGCTTTACGAGGCGCGTGCATCATGGATACCAGCATACTTCGATGACATATTAATGGCGGGACTACTCAGAACAACATCAAGATCAGAATTAGAAAACAACTATTTTGGTAAATTCACAAACCACCACTGCAGCCTAGTAGAATTCATTGCGCAATACAACAGCGCCATCGGAGAACAAAGACATAAACAGGCAAGACTAATCGCAGAAAACGAAGGTTCGTACCCTGAAACTAAAATCCCTTTGAGTATTGAGAAAAATGCTACTACAGTGTACACTATAAACATATTCTACGAATTCCAAGAAGAGGTATGGGAAGCCAGTTTCACGTGTGACATCATCGACAAACACAACATAGGGGATATATGGAAGTACACAGTTAAGGACACAAATGGAAAAATGTATGAAGTAACCGAAACCCCACATTCAAAGGAAATAGAGTGTGCGTGTAAAAAGTTCAACCGTGTTGGTATACTATGCAGGCATGTGCTATTGGTGATGAAGACAAGAGGGTATGAGTCAATCCCAGAAAAGTATATTGTTCCACGATGGACACGAAACGCATGTGCACAACCATTATATGATGTCCCGTGGGCAAGAAAAACAAATACTACCAAGACGAATGAAACAACAAAAGTTGCAAATCAACTATGGAATGAATTCTACAACTGCATGGGATTAGTGAATGGTTGGACTGACAAGATGGACCAAATGTTGGCAACATTGCAACAATTGAAAAAGGATCTACAAAAGGAGGTGCAACAAACACAAGAGGGTGCACACAACGAATCTGTGTTTGAAAGACTAGTAGGATCACGCAGACCAAGCGACATACAAATAAACCCCCCCCCCCCCCCCCCAGGTTGCAAAAAACAAAGGGAGTGGAAAGAGACTCAAAAGCAGCAAAGAAATAGCCACCACAAAGAACCAAAAGAAAAAGGAAAGGACATGCAATATATGCGACCTCCGGGGCCACAACAGTCGTACCTGTCCGGACAGACTTGCATAAGCAAAAGTTTGAAAGACTTCAGAATGTCATTATGTTTACAATTATGAACCATATTTAATTACTTATATGAAGCAAACACTTTATTTATTACCACCACTTAAATTAGGCAAAAAGGAAATAACTAACAGCACACACACCGCACGACCTATATGTGCGCACACAGCAACACATACATGCGCACCCAGACCCATAGCCAACAAACCCCGCACTCACAGGGAAGTATGCCGTGCACACATGCAAATGGGTAGCCGTGAGTTATTTTTTGGGAACACAAAGGTAACTGATTTAGTATAGGCAAACGCTGAGTGAAAACACGCACACACAATACCACACAAACCCGCACACGGATCAAAGACAACCCAACCCAACAGCAACAAAGCTAACAGCGTGACGAGACCGCATCAAACAACAGATTATCAAAGCTAACAGGGTGCACACTGGGGGAGATATCAATTAGTCGACCAAGACATGTGAACAAAGCAACAATATATTAACCACATAAAAAAACTGATTATCAGCCATATATTTACCACAGCTAATGGCAGTAACCACAAAAAACAGCGCGAGCACAGTGTGGAATCAAAGTGTGCACATTACATACCCCAAAAAAAACACACACCATAACTAAAAAAGACATAACTAAGTCGAAGGGAGTGGAGCTGATATCGACCGGTACGCCCGCAAGGTAAAAGACCATAAGGTTACAAAATCTTTAAAAAAAATGAATTGGAAGCAACAGTGCAGACACTAACCAACTCCTCAACACACACACCATACTTGTCCGCCTTTGCTATGAGATTGGAGTCATTATCAATAATTTCATACCGAAATCGAACAAAATCAAAACACAACAGGAAATAGTGACCACAGCGTAGAATCGGGAAAAAAATCTGCACACAACAAAAGGGTGAAATATAAATGGGATTGGCTATGCACCCAAACAGAAGCCAAAGATATTTTCAGCACCAAGCACCCAGAAACAGGCAAGCATGCACACAAAACCCAAAGTAAGACTGAACACAAAATGACAAGCATACCATGTCAATCGCCGTAATATTTTCATACGGAGATGCTTGGAGGTCCATCATTAACCTCTCACGGAACCACACGACCCTTTGATCCCATCCCCGAGAAGTATCAACCACAGTCGTGAGCTAACACAAGCCACCACCAACGCACAAAACAATCCAATTAAAGATTAAGCAAAATAACTCACGAAAAAAGAAAGGGAAATGAAATTTGTGCAACTAAAACTAACCGTGGTTATACAACTTGAATAATACTAGTTATGAATTTTCTCTCGCTCCCGTTCGCGAGTCTTCTTCTTCCCTAAGGTTCTAGGGTTTTGCCGGTTTAGGGTTTTGCTGGTATAGGGTTCTGTGGATATGGCTGCTGATGACGATCATGATATTGCACAAATGTGCACGAGCCTCACGCTTGCTGATGTTGATGACGAGGAGGTTTCAGTACAAGTTCCAATACAACAAACATCTGATGTGAATCAGGATCCCAGTTTTTATGCGGTCGGACGGCTTGTGACGACGAAGCCAATTAGGTTTGCCTTTTTTTAGGATACGATGGCAGCGGTATAGCAACCAGCGATGGGAGTGACGACAAAACAGCTCTAATCGCATCGCTTTCTGTTTCGTTTCTATAATGAGAATGACCTGTCTAGGATCGTTGAGGATGGACCCTGGTCGTATGAGCAGAGTTTATTGGTTATGAAGAAGATGGAGGCGGGGGACGGTCCAAGGTTGGTTGTCTTGGATCATGCTACGTTCTGGGTGCAGATACATTCTTTGTCGCCTGGGTTACGCACTGATGCGGTGGTTATTGCGATTGGACAATTTATGGGAACTCTAGTATGTACAAACGACAGGAATTTTGGGGGATCTATGCGTACATATTACCGCGTGCGCCTGAGTGTTGATATAACCAAGCCCTTGAAGAAGCAGATGAAGCTCAAGAAAGATAATGGCCAGTGGGCGTACATCGAATTTCGGTATGAAAGACTACCAACCTTCTATTTTGTATGTGGGATCATAGGGCATGGGGATCGAGTGTGTCCGAAGAATGCACTGGGGATTGACGTGCGTGCGGAGAAACCTTATGGAGCCTGGTTGCGAGCTGGTAATCGCCGGGTGGTGCCAACTGTGGGGAAACGGTGGATAGCTCCGGAGATGGATGTAGACTGGAAGGGATGGATTGCTCCTGGAATGATGGGAAATTCTGATGCATCAACCAGGCAGGGAACAAGCTGGGGAGCTAGTGGTCACCAATGATTCTAAGAGGAAGCGTGTGGAGACTGATGGGGAGAATGGGGGAACGAGTGTGGACTGTGAGAATGGTTTGTCAAAAAACGGGGAGAAGGCGGGACTTGCTGCGCAAGCCCGCCAAGGATTATGAGTAATGTCTTGGAATTGCCGAGGGCTTGGCAACCCAACGGCAATTCGAGTCTTAGCGGACCTGGTCCGCATGAAGAGGCCGAAAGTTGTGTTTTTTATGGAGACTTTTGTGGATAGGAGCAGGATGGAAAGTGTGAGGGTGCAGTTGGGGTTCGACAGTGTGTTTGTTGTTGATGCTGTTGGACATAGCGGCGGTTTGGCAATGCTATGGTTGAATTCTGTGTGTTTACAGGTTACTGCTTATGATAGTAACTTTATTGATGCAAGGGTGGAGCTTGAGGCGGGAAGCCCGGGGTGGCGGTTCACGGGGTATTATGGGTTCTCTGAGAGAGCACGAAGGAGAGAGGCCTGGCAGTTGTTACGAAATTTAGCGGGGCAGAGCACAGAACCATGGGTTATAATGGGTGAATTAAACGACCTGTTACATCAAAATGAGAAGAAGAGCCGAGCACCCCACCCACCCTGGTGTATAACGGGGTTTGGGGATGCAGTTGTGGATTGTGGGCTTCAAGATTTGCCATTCTCTGAGTATCAGTATACATGGGTCCGCTCATGGGGTAGGAGTTATATGGTGGAGGAGAAGCTGGACCGGATTCTTGTGACTGAAGATTGGAGGACTTTGTTTGCGGAGGCTACGACGTGTTCTTTACCTTGTGTTTATAGTGATCACATGCCGTTGTTGCTAACTCCAGTAGCTGCGGTGAATGCTGTGCGCCGGAAGCGGTTTCTCTTTGATAATATGTGGTTGAGGGAGGACGGGTGCCGTGAAATTGTTGCACACAGCTGGGATCGAACTAGACAGGATGTTCTACGCAGAATAGAGTCATGTGGCCGTGACATCTGGAAATGGGGGAAGACTTATAACAGGGATTTCTAGAGACGTATAGAGCAGTGCAAGTCAAGGTTGGAGACTTTACAATCACGGTATGATCAGGGTAGTGTGGCGGCATATGAGCAAGCCGAGAGGGACTACCTAGTTTTGTTAGATCAGCAACACTACTTTTGGAAACAGAGAGCGAAAGAGCACTGGTATAAGGGTGGAGATTGTAATAGTAGGTTCTTTCATAATTCAGTAAAATCAAGGAGGATGAGGAATAGTGTAAGCAGGCTCAAGGATGAAGATGGGAACTGGGTGGAACACGAGGTTGAGATAGGCCTGGTGATGCAGGGCTATTTTCAGACATTGTTTGAGGCAGACCAAGGGGATATGAGTGAAAGTGGTGTTTCAGATGCACCCAGACAAGTCCCCAGGATCAGATGGGTTGGGGCCGGGATTTTTCAGCATTATTGGCATATTGTGGGGGAGGCAGTAATGGATTTTTTAGCATTATTGGGACCCGCTGCCACCACCTCCCGGAGGTCGCCCGTTGACCACCCACTGCCACGCAACACCACAGCGCGCACCGGCCAGGATCACCACCGACGACGCAGACGCCTACACCGCCCAGACCAGCCGCATCCTCGCCGTCCGAAACCAAGCAGGTCGCCGCCCCGTCACCGGAGCTTCGTCGAAGCCCCGCCGGAGTTCGCCGGAAAAACAAACACCAGAAAAGACGCCACCTTGGAAAACCACACCATGCCGAAAAAACCAGTTGGTATCCGAACCCCGGAATGGAACGACCCCGATTACACGGTGATCGGAGGTAAAGCCCTCGAACCTGACCAATTCTCTCCGGAGTTGGTCGATATGCTTAAATTTCAAGGGCTCTTGGATACCTATCTCGCAATCAAGGGGGATACGTACCCCGAATTGGTGAAAAAATTCTATCACCACTTGATAGCCGTCAAGCGGGGTGATAAGTTGGAAATCACCGCCAAGGTCCGAGGCAAGGAGATAATACTCTTCGAAGGCCGCTTGGCCAAACTCCTGAAACTGACCACCACCGGTGTGTCAGATTATGACCGGAAGGGGTGGATCGGTACCCAAGGCACGGGGTACAAGGATTACCTCGAGTACCTACTCGGAAAGGAAGATGGCTTCACCTCGGCCACCCGGCCAAACAGGAAATGGCTAACCGCTGAACAAAAGATACTAGTTATGATGGTAACTGATAGCTTGTTGCCCACGAACAACAAAAGCAAGGATGTGGGCAGCCTAGAGTGCACCTTTGTCTACTTCCTAAAACACAAAATCAAGTTCAACCTACCGGCCCTTATGTTGAAACACATGGAGTTTTGCAAGACTAGCACCCAGCGTAGTCTACCTTACGGGATGATCCTAAGTTGGATCAAGGAGAAAAAGGGAGTGGACTTGAGCCACACGAAGATCAAACCCGTGAGCGGTATGGTTTTCAATGCCCAGAACCTCCGCCGCAATGACATTTACTACACCGGAGAGGGACAATACATCACCCTCGATGAGGTTTGTCTTAAACCCGAAGAGGAACGAAGGGAATTGGTTGATCGACTGGATATCTCCAACAAAAAGCTAAAACGGGCAATGCAAGAATGTGGAGGACTGGAAGGACATGAGGAACAAGAGGAGGATAGCGAACCTAACCCACATGCACCCGCGCGAGAAAGGGGAAACCCAGAGGACCGAAATGAAGAATCTGTCAATGAGCGCATCCTCGCGAAACTTACCCGGCAAAACTAGATCATGGATGAAGGGTTCTCATCCCTAATCCATGCAACACGCGCGTTAGATCAAAGGGTGGCAGCAATCGAGGCCATGTTGGGCACACGCGGGGCGTCCAGCTCGGGAGTAGGAAACCAAGGTAGGCCCCAAACTTTCCAAACACCACCTCACCAAAGATCCAATCTACCCCAGAAAGAAACGACACGTGGAGCCACATTTCCTAACCAGGAGGCTAAAATACGTGACGTCCAGGGGTGAAAGAATGGATCCACGCACCGGCTTCGGGGACGAAGCCTCTCGTAAGGGGGGAAGGGTGTAACACCCCGTGTTACGGCCTCTAAAACAAACTAATTATTTAATTACTTACCCTAAAAAGAGAATTAAAATCCATTAATTAACTCGGAATGGTCCACCATAGTCCATGGACCCTTATCCCTAAACCAAGCCCTTAGTCCTATAAGAAATAGAATTAGTAAATCCATATCATCCAGACCCTAATTAGGACTCTTATGTATATATAAGGACATAGGAGGCACCTAGAACTCACACCACAATAGCTTTCATCACACAAGAATTCCCATAGGAGAGATCAAGAAAAGGAGATCTTAAAGAAAAGACCCTTTATAGCCAATGATTCAAATTAAGGCTAAGAGGTAACCCATGTCTCAACAAAACTTATTTTCATTGTTATAATCTCCTTCTTTGGCTCCTTACCCTATGCTTGTGTCTTGATAAATCTTTTATGATGATTATAATATGATCTTGATGATTGATGAGATGATATTATGTGTTGATCTTGATGATCTTGATGATTATAAGAGGATCTTGATAATTGTGTGATGTTCTTGATTTTAAAGATAAACGTTGATTTTGATGATTTGAATATGATTAGAGCCCTAGGTTGAATTGGGAATTTCGTATCGTAATATTCTTGGTATATTTGGGCGGGATTTCGCATGTTCGGGTGTTGATAATGTTAGAAGTCATGTTAGGATGTGTTCATTGTGATTCTTGGTTTTGATCCGTTATTTGACTACGTGGTGTTGTCGTTTGTGTTTAAAAGTGTCTAAACATGGTTTCGGGTTCCACAAAAGATCCCGGGACCAATATTTTGAAAGAGAGTCAGTGGGGGGTAGGTGGGGGTAGGGGGACCCGCTGCTCGAATTAACGTCGCCGGCAGCGGGCAGCCGGCGGGCAAACGACTGCCCGCCGGGCACCCGCTGCCCGGAGACTCGTCACCGGCAGGTGATCCTCCACCCGCCGGCCACCCACTGGATTTTTCCCCACCTTGGGATTTTGGCTTCCCCGTTAGATGTTCCCCGACCCTCGTGGTGTCCCGACGGACTTCGTTTATCGTGCCTAAGTCTAGTTTGATGTTTTGGGTACCGTTCGTAGGATAAAAGAGTCTTGTGTATTGCATGCTAGTTGAATTGGTACCCCGTTGACCTAGGTGAAAGATGCATGAACCCTTAGGATATTTGCTAGTACGTGGATGACCACACATAGGTTTCTTTATACGCTTCCCCCCCCCCCCCCCCGCCCCTCACCTCCCACAACGTGATAATATGAATTGCATGTGCTTGCTACGTGATAAATGTGCATGAATCCCCAATATTGGCTGCGGCCAAGTTGGTTTTCATAGGCTGCAGTCCACCGACTGAGCTCGTCAGCGGTGTGTAGGGCTGCAGTCCACCAAGTGGGCCTCATGGGCTGTAGTCCACCAACTGAACGCGTCAGCGGTGTGTAGGGCTACAGTCCACGAGGAAAGCCATAGTCCACCGACTGAGCTTGTCAGCGGTGTGTAGGGCTATGGTCGGCTGCGATCCACCGACTGAGCTCGTCAGCGGTGTGTAGGGTCGTAGTCCCTAAAGAGGATCACAGTCCACCGATTGAACGCGTCAGCGGTGTGTAGGACTGTGGTCAACCCCTTCATGCTGCGGTATGAGGTAGGGTGCTGCGGGGCCGTGTTAGCGCTATATGCGCTAACCCTCATGTATGGGCATGCGATTGGTCCCGTGGCGCCACTAAAGTATGCTTGTGTGATGGAGATACTGATTGAAAGATGATTGACATAAATGTAAATTGTGACCTTAATATGATGATGTCTCTATATATTGATTATAATTGTTGAAATGTGCTTATCCCTATCTATCGAGTCTAATCCTGGTTTTAAAGTTAGAGTCTCCTAAGTATGTATCTTCCTGCTTCAAAATGATTTTCCTATATATATATATATATATATATATATATATATATATATATATATATATATATATATATATATATATATATATATATATATCTATATTGTATTTTAACGCGTTGGAGTGGGTTACCGACATTATTCGCTGAACAGATATATTTGGCTTTCAGGCGCGGATGAGTAGACTCCAGAGCGCGCTAGAGGACCGAAGCTTAGATAGATAGTTTCCCTTTCGGCCTGCGTGCCATGATGATGTATTGACATTACTTTGAGGATATTTAGTTAGTATAGCCTGTGCATCTGAGTTTTCCAGCTCAGATGTGGCATAACACCCCAAACTATTATGTTAGTATGCTATGTTTCGGAATTTATGATAGTATTACCTTTATTATAAAAGTTTTAAAAGTTTCAAAAATTTAGGGTAATTACAGTAAACCCCTAATATCATCTTTATGTCGCATGGACAAATCCTGAAGCGCTTCAACAAGCACACCAGACTGCCCTTGAAACTTAACAGTAGGAAATTCAGCATCCTCTTCTACAGACCCCTCACCACCATCAGAAGAATCTTCAGTCGCATTCCACAGCGGGTCTTGCTCCAACCTAGCCAAGAAAGCCAAAGGTGGGGAAACGAAGTCATCATCGCTCACACGCCCTTCGACCACCTGTGGAACAGCCCGAACCCCCTTAACCTTCTTACCTGCAGAAAAGAAGACTCGCAATATTCACTATACATCTTGGCACACCCACCAGACAGCTAACAGAGCACAATTTAAACCAAGACAGCTAACAAAAAAAAAAAAAAAAAACCCACCTAACCACCCACGCACACACCTACGCCCAACCCCTGCACACAACTAGGCACCAAAGTAAACACAGACACAACAGTTTAAGAGAACAGAGCACAGTTTAAGTACACACTTCCAACACTAACATAGCACAATTTAAGATGAGTGGGATGCGAATTTAACACAGTAGGCAGTGTATACTAATCAATATCGAAACCTGGAAATGAACTACAATTATTATTATTATTATTATTATTATTATTATTATTATTATTATTATATATATATATATATATATATATATATATATATATATATATATATAAACCCCCCAAAACAACACGTTTCATACTTGAAATTGAAATTCTAACACAGGATATTGTAATTATTTATTAACTTAATTCAATTTGTTAAAAACAAACAATTTTTAGCTGAGAAAATTTAACACGAAATTCACTGTACAATTTTTTACAAATTTTTGAATGTTTATAATTGTTTCTAATGCCAACAAAAACAAAAATACGAAACAAAAATACAGGCATGTCATGAACAAATACATATATTTAACAAAAAAAAAAAAAAAAAAAAAAAAAAAGAAGACAAACGGAAAAACACCGCCAACCACCGAATTAGTGCCCCCTAATTCTTGACCGGCGAACGCCGGAAAATCAATAAAAAAAATGACCCAAAAAAACAACGCCGTGCACTGCCGAGGTGCCTACCACCGCACCGGAGCTGACATCCACGAACCCAGACCGCCCCAACCCACAAACGAGCAAAAAACAAAAACCCTAGCTACAAAATCCGACAACAAAATTGGCAAACCCGACAACCCCCGATCACAACCCCATGTCTATCAACCACCAAGCAACAAAACCCCCAAAAATTGAGCGCAAAAGAAGCCAGAAAGCGAAGAAAAAAAATAACAACAAACAAACCAAACTAACCTCGGCCGACATCCGGTGGTCCCCCCCCCCCCCCCCTCTTCAGCCTGCCGCGGTCCCCCCCGACAACCATAGCGACGTGGGATCGAAGAACAACTTAGCACCAGATGGAAGCCGACGCGATTAGCAGAATCCCGTCACACACACTCCCTACGCACGACAAGCGAAGAACGGAAGAATAGAAAGAGTCCAACCGTGCGCGTGAGTTTGAACCTAACCCTGACTAGGATTCAATACACCCAAAATACCACATGTACCCCTCTTAACATAAAAACTCAATAAACAATAGGATAATGCACGCCCAAATCACAACCGTCCAAACGCATCATCCAACGCCCCAAATTAGTCTTCATGTTTATATTTTAAGATGTGCATATATATATATATATATATATATATATATATATATATATATATATATATATATATATATATATATATATATATATATATATATATATATGTGTGTGTGTGTGTGTGTGTGTGTGTGTGTGTGTGTAAAATCCTTATAAATTTGTAAATGATAGTGTTTTTGTATATTTTCTTATGGATTTATTATTATATGTATTATTTTAATTAGATTTATTATTATAGGTATTATTTTTAGGATTTAAAATTTTAGTTTAAAAAAGTTCAGTTAATCGGTTAACCGACCGATTAAGCGAAAAAAACTTCGGTTCGATTAATTTGGTAATACAAAGTTCAATTCGGTTAATGGTTAACGATTAAAGCTTTAAAAACTTCAGTTAAAACGGTTTGATTAACCGATTGATAACTCCTAATTACATTAGGTAATAAAATTACCTATTGAAAGATGATCTGTAATTTTGGAAATGGGAGATTATTTTATATGATTGGTATAGACTTATTACTCTCATCCTTGAGACACCAAGTAAAATATTATATATAATGCATATTAAAGACCTATCTATATAGGACACTCAAGCGAACACTCTAACTCTACAACAAAAACTAGCTTATGAAATTTGAGTAGAGGTTTGACCCCAACTACTTATGTATCACTCCCCAATCTCTTGTGGAACCGATGTGGGATCGTATTAGTACCATTTCACTTTATTTTGCATTACTAACTCACTTCGTTTTACTATACTCTGCCACTTGTCTTCTCCCAATAACAAACATATACAACAATTACCTTAAGTAATAAAATTACCTATTTAAAGATGATGTGTGATTTTAGAAATATATGATGCATATGAAAGACCTATCTATAAATATATGATGCATATGAAAGGCCTATCTATATTCTACCCGTGAGCCACGGCAAATTATTGTGTGGACCATGGTTCACACAATGTTATGTGGACCATAACAAAAAATACATTTTTAATATACTAAATGTACATTATTTTTGTATTGAATGTACATTATATATTATAATGTACACTCAGAACAAAAATAATGTACATCCCCTGAATATAATGTACATTATTTTTGTACTAAATATACATTATTTTACAGTAAACAAAATATGGTCCACACAACTTGTATGAACCATGGTCCACACAATAATAATTGGTGAGCCACGTAATAGGTTTGATGGTGCATAAATAAACATTTGTATTATTGGCATGTGAGTGGGGACCATGCTTAATTGGCATGTTTAGATTGTTTTGTTAGATATGGCCTATTTGATGAACAACTTGAAGATAATGATAAAAAATGACGGTGGAGAAATGGCATCCAACAACTTGTGTTCGTTGTTTTGGTCCGCTTTAGCCTTTAATTATTCTTCCCAAAGAATTGTTATTTTGAATCTCAATAATTTTGCTGCAGACTAAAGTCTTATTTGAGCTCCCAGTCAATAAACTACACCGCCAAGTAGCTACCAATTCTTCTCCGCCCACGGCAACAAGTCATTAAGTTTCTGTACCACACGGTTGGTAGGTGTAGAATAAGTTGATAAATTAAAATACAATATATATAAAAATATATTTAAACAAATAAAGAGATTTAATTTAGAAAAATTAATCACAACTAAAACTTGGTACAAACTCAAATGATCGAATTTATTTATACAAAAATTTAAAAAATAAAAATAAAAATAGGGTTTTTAAATATTAGATTATATAAATCCAAACGAAAGAAAAGGGAGATTCAAGTCGTGTATACCACACACTTTTCTTAAAACTGATTCCCTATCTTTCCGGAGTGCTAAGAGCGTTGTAGCATTACTTTCTCAAGATAAAATTGATCACGACTTAATGTTTGAACACTCAAACAAAAATTTTGACGAACTAGAACAATAGGCGAGCACTTCGCTAATTGACTTAAGTGTTGACAGAAATCCGCAAGAAAAGATTTTGGTCACGCCGGCCAAATCTCACCGGAAATATTTTATAGGTTAAATGATGAGGGTATTTTAGTCATTTTACTCAACTTTTCTTTATTTTACCCATTTCCGGCAGACAATTTTTTCCGGCAACAATTTACTCAACTTTGCAGCCTATCACTTTTACCCATTTCCGGCAGACAATTTTTTCTCCGACAAGATGGCTACTTTTAATCTACATTTAATATGCAGGTGGAGCCCCGAACAATTTGAACTCTATAGAGAAGGTTTAGAAGATTCTGATGTGGAGTCCTCGTAGAAATTCAAAGAGGATCTATAAGTTAAACATGGTTTCTCTCGAAAACACACTCTCCCACCTTCTGGCATTGAGCCAAATTGATGTTATCGGGAGCATGTTTAGTTCTCCTCTATTAGGTAAATGCAGGTGGTGCATTCCCCTCAGTTTTGGGCGGAGAGATAGGATACGAAATCGGCGATTATAGCTCTCTGGGCCGGCTTGAATTTTCCAGATGAGATTTACAGAGATTTTGTCGGCGAATTGCGATTTTGTCGGCGAGCAATGGGTCGTTGTTGTACTGGAGAAACTGATAGGCTGCTAGCTTTCTATCGGAGAAAAAATTGTCTGCCGGAAATGGCCGGGCTCATCGGAGAAGAAACCAAAAGTTGAATAAAATGACTAAAATACCCTCATTATTTAACCTGTTAAATATTTCCGGTGAGAATTGGCCGATAATTTGGCCGGCGTGACCAAAATTGATAGAAATTGCATAGTCAAGGCACTAAATTAACATTTTTGAAAGTCAAGTGTTGCAATTAACACAACCCCAATAGTCAGTGGACCAAAATTGAAATTTTCTCTAATACATAAATAATTGATTATTACTTATAAAACAAAATATAACACTTAGGACAAATACGATACTTTTGAGGAAAAATGTATAGTCTAATACTTTTAAATTAAGATATAATATTTAGGGTTGAACACTTATGAGGAAAATGTAATACTTATTAGGAAAAAAAGCGATACTTGTTGTAGTCGGTGAATAGTATATTGATTTTTTTAGTGACCAGAAAAATTGGTAGCAACTATTTAAGGGTGTGCATTCCATCTTGTAATCTTAAGTGACAAATAATCACAATGAAATAAATTAAATTCGCTGATTGATTAAAATAAAAAAAAATGTAATTATCAAGTCAAACAATACGACAAACTTAACAGGGATTACCCAAGTAGCAGTAGTAGTATATTTTGTTATGGTAGGTGTAAATAGGTGGGTAATAGTTGAGTTGACTCGAGGAGTCCACTTTGTCTTTAACCTTCAATTACTGAGGATGCCAATAATTTTGCATCATCTTCATCAGAGGTCATCACTACTGACCATACATAATACTCTGCAAGAATTTAAAAGAAAAAAAAAAATCATTGCATTCTGCACTCTAGCTAAAATCTTGTTTGATCTCCCATAAAACAACACCCCCAAGTAGCTAAGCTACCAATTCTTTGCCGGTGACATTACATACAAGTAATTTCAGTATCTGTACTAATGGCGGAAGCTGCTGTAGAGTTTCTTTTGGACAAACTATCAGCGGTGATCAGTGAAGAGTGGTCACTCTTGGGAGGGATTAAAGAAGACGCAGAATACATCATGAATGCCTTGAGTCGTCTAAGGGCAGCTTTGAGAGTTGCTGACGAGAGGGAAGAAATGGATCCTCAAGTTAAAGCTTGGGTGAAGATAGTTCGGGAGCTGGCTTATGACACCGAAGATGTTCTTGACGAATTCCAGATCCGCTTTGGAGGTCGCCACACTGGTAGAGGATTCTTCACTAAGATGAAGAACAAATTCACTTCTGCCAAGAACTTGAGAGCTCAGCACAGGCTTGCACTTGCACTGCAAAAGATCAAGGCCAGAATCAGTGAAAACTCCCAATATCAGCCAATCTTGCCAACAAGCACTACGGGAACTGTTCACAACCACAACCAACAATTGCATGGCCGAGGGGATACCAGTGTTCCAGAAGAGTCAGATCTGGTAGGTTTTGAAAACTCTAAGCAGTCTCTTATTCAACTCCTTGTTGGCGCTATTGATGATGATTTGAGAGTTCACTCTGTGGTGGGCATGGGGGGATTGGGGAAAACCACTTTGGTTAAAAAGGCTTATGATGATGCACAAATCATAAAGCATTTTCAGCATCGTGTGTGGGTTACAGTTTCTGAAACATTCAAGATTGAGGAGTTGCTGAAAGATGCAATTAAGCAATTAGTGAAGCAAACAAATCAACAACTCCCACAGGATTTTGAAACCATGGGCTTTAGTCAATTGAAAGATTTTGTTATAAGCATTCTTTCAGAGCAAAGGTACATCATTGTTTTAGATGATGTATGGAGTTTTGTTGTTTGGGACGCTATCAAATATGCTTTTCCTAGACAAAAGTTTGGTAGCCGAATAGTTATCACAACAAGGAATAGTGATATAGGGCGGGATGCATGTCATGAAACCAAAGGAGATGTGTACGAGTTGAAGCTTTTGTCTAAGGAAGATTCATGGGAACTGTTTTGCAAAAAAACATTTTTGAGTGATTCATGTCCTCCACATTTGGTGAAAATTGCCGAAGATATTGTAAATAGATGTGGTGGTCTGCCTCTGGCTATTGTGGTAATTGCCGGTATATTGGCTACCAAGGGTGAGGATATTGCAGAATGGAAAAGTTTCCAGAACGGTGTTAACCTTCAATTGAAAACCAATGACTGCAGGATGGAAAACTTGAAGAATCTATTATCCTTGAGTTACTATGATCTTCCATATCATCTAAAGTACTGTTTCTTGTACTTTAGCATATACCCTGAAGATGCCAAAATTGAAAAAAATAGACTCATTAGACTGTGGATTGCAGAAGGCTTTGTCCAGGAGAATGGTGATCAAGTGAAAGAAGAAGTTGCAGAAGCTTATCTCAATCAGCTAATTCATCGAAACTTAATCCAAATTGCAGAGAAGTCTTATGCGGGAAAGATTATTGGTTTAAGAGTCCATGATATTTTACGAGAAATAATCCTTTCAAAGGCATTAGAGCAAAACTTTGCAGTCATCCTCACTGGACAGAACAAAGAATGGTCCGACAAGTGTCGACGCCTAATAATCCATAGATTTGATGATGACATTCTAAAGAGCACTTCCTCCAAAAGTCATATTCGTTCATTACAGTTCTATAATGATAATGATGAGGTACTGGTTTCATCGTCATTATCTAAGCTGTTGTCCTTTGATTATTACATTCCTCTGAAGGTGTTAGATTTAAGTTATACTCGTCTAGTGAAAGTTCCAAAAGAAGTTTTCAAGTTGCTTCATTTGAAGTATTTGAATTTGAGGGATACAGGGTTGAGAAATGTTCCTAAATCCATACAAGCTCTTCAAAACTTAGAGATACTTGACCTGAAGCACACTTTTGTGTCTAAGTTGCCGGTTGAGATTGGAAAACTTCATAAACTCCGGCATCTCCTTGTGGGCTTTTTGTTTTTTGGTCGTGCTTATGCTCCTTTTGAGATTGGGGGATTGGTGTCTTTACAAAAGTTGTGTAATATACAAGCAAAGACAACTAATGGCGTCAGTGTGGTGTCTGAGATAGGGAATCTAACACAACTGAGAAAGCTTGGAGTTACAAATTTGAGACAAGAAGATGGAAAGGAATTATGTTCATGCATAGAAAAGTTGACAAAACTTATCTCTTTAAGGCTTGAGGCGGTGGTAGAAAATGAGATCCTTGATATCCAACATTCTTTATCTACCATTCCTCTTTTTCTTCGTACATTAAAATTAAAAGGGCGTCTAGAGAGGATCCCTCAATGGTTATCTTCACTTGTAAGCCTAACTAAACTGGAGTTGGTTAATAGTTGTGTTCTTGAAGATCCACTACTGCTTCTCCAAGATCTACCCATGTTAGCAGATCTTCTACTTGCTAAGTCTTATGAAGGTGAAGGGTTGTGTTTCAAGGCTGGAAAGTTCCCAAAGCTCAAGTGTTTGGATATTCAGTTCCTCATGGCACTGAAATGGATAATGGTGGAGGAAGGTGCAATGCCCCTTCTTGAAGACCTCTGCTTGCGTCACTGCAAATTGCTTGAACAGGTACCTGCAGGTATTGAACATTTGTCTAAACTCAATTCAATTGAATTCAATGGTATGAACGGTAAATTGATGCTTACTTTAGAACCAAATGGTGAAAACTACACAAAAATATCTCACATTCCTCAGATTCCTCACATTCCTCGCATTCAAATTTCTAAATACAGTTTCTTGACGGCCATGTATGTGTAAATGTCCATGTATGTATTTATGTACTCTTTGTTATTCATAAAGCAATAGTACAGTGTTGTAATTGAATTTGGTTTTGTATTTAATTCAAGTGTTTTGGGAGTATGCAAATACAAGTCTTGAACATCGATCATAACTCTTTCAAATATGTATATATATTAATTGATTGTAGATTATCATATGTTATAATTATATTTATTTTATTTGATATTATCCCACTTTAATTTGTGGGAAACCATATGGTCAATTGGTCATGGAGGAGTTTATGCAATGGCAAACACCTCAGGTGTACTGCTGTGTAATTAAACTCCTATGTTGGTGAAAATTCCATATGTTGTGACAATTTCTGATTGAAGCAGTCTTTTTTTTTTTTTTTTTTTGGTTAGAAAATCACCTTTTTAGTTTTCTAATTTTTCTTCAAAGCAACTTTAGAGACAACTGGAGCTGAAAATTTATAGCTATTTTAAGAATTAAAGGACCAAAATTGTAAAAATTGAAATAGAATGACTAGATCTAAACTCCAAAATGTTAAGTAATTTGTAGCACAATAGCAACTTTGTGGCTCACTTAAATAGGAGGTTACAAGTTTAAATTTGAGTGGGACATTGGCTCTTTGTACTTCAATAGGTTGAGATTGCTACATTGTAATAAAGTTAGTAATACTAAAAAAAGGTCCAAAATTATTAAATAACAAAAAGAATTTTGAACAAAGAGTTAATTCCCAAAATGGTCCTCCGACTATAGCATTTTCTCAAATTGGTTCCTTAACTTTTAATTCCACTCAAACTGGTTCTCGAACTATTGAAATTTAGGCAGTATTGGTGTTAAAATAAAAGGTAATTCAGGTGTTGAACATCCCTAGAAATAAATGTTGTAATTCAGGGACATCAATTTCACTACTGGCAGTAGCATGCTGCTTTCCTTTAGATTTAGATTTATAACCTAGTATCCATCCCCGTGCTTTTTGTAGCATTTTTTGATCGTGTTCACACCATTTTGAGGAAAATTCTTCCTGTTGTTATATTGATTAACAACAGCAGCTACTGCATCATCTAGAGTTCATATACTCACTGAAGCTCGAACTCATAATCTTCCAAATGGAAGTCCAACCCGGGTACCATTAAACCACATAGTCCTGGTAACCTTGGAGAAATCTAATTACTTGATTACCTCCTTTTCCTTTGGAATTTCTTCAAGCAGATCACACGCACAGCGAGGATCGCACTTACAGATAGGGAGGGGCCCGAGTTCATTCATTTGCTCCCAAAGGATTCTACACTTAGTGTAGTAATCATTCACAGTCATGCTACCTTGTTTTAAAGAATAAATTTCAGTTTGAAGAGATGAGATCCGATGTGGATCTATTTGAGAGAATCTTTTTTTCAAATCATTCCATACCTCTTTGGCTTTGTCCATGTAGATTATACTTTGAGCTATTGAAGGATGAACTGATCTGAAAATCCATGAGCAGATCATGAGATTAACTCTTCTCCACGCCGCATATCTAGAATGAGCTCTATCAGGCGCTGCTAAGCTTCCGTCTATCACGCACCATTTATTTTTCACTTCCAGAGCCAATCGCATGGAGACACTCCAAGTTGCGTAGTTTGCGCTTCCAGTGAGAGGCGGACTCACGAGCACGGCATTCGCACTCTCGCTGCTACTCAGGAATAGAGGATTCTCAATATCCTCAACATTGGGACTCCTTTGTGGAGTCAGGATCCTCTGCGGATCGATCGCCGGAGATTGGTGAACTGGTGAGCCATTCACAGGCGTTGATGGATGAGATCGTTGCACAGACTCGCGGGTGCCGGATAAAGCAGCGGCGTAGCTTCTCTGCCCTGGCTCTAATACCATGATGAAGCCCGGCAGTGAACGATTAACAGGAGAAGGAACAGAGGTGTTTCATTATTGCAGAAGATAGGGAAGAAGAATATCTGAAATTACATCACAAAGGTACGTACAAGATGAATATAAAGGTGGTAGAAAGAAGCGCCAAAAGCGGTTACAACTGACTCTGCAAGTAAAGGACACTAATGCCCTTAGAGGTTGAGCTCTGTCTTCTCAGATATGTCAGCTACTGCCTTTTCTCCTAATAAACCATTAAATCGTTATTATTTTTTATTTTTTTTATTATTAAATTTTTTTTTAGTGTTTAATAGTATTTTTAAATATATAAATTTTAAATAATTTAAATCAAATCTTGTTAACTAAAGACATAAAATGTGACAGAAAAATATGTTTTTCTCAAATTTAAATCATAGATTGATTAACCTAGCAACAAGGAGAGCTACGGTTGGCGCTATTCTTTTGTCATCAGACAAAGGTTTCATCGCGGCAATGAGCCGGCACTTACCGAGTTGCTTTAGTTCCCTCATGTCGAAAACATTGACATGCAAAGAAGCTTTATCTTGGCTAAAGGGTCGTGCAGTGTCAATGGTTGAGCTCCTCACTGATTGCTCCATCACTACTTAATGACTATACTCATACTAAAATTTTCTCTTATGTTGGTTTTGCTATTAATGACGGTAGAGTTGTCATGTCTTCTTTTGAAAATTTTACCGTCCCTAAATCTTCGAATCTAGTAGCTCACACTCTAGCTTCAATGGCTTACTCTCTGGCAAACACTTTGTACTGGGATTCCGTCCCTCCTGACTAAGGTAGTATTTGTTCTATACTTTCTCAAACAATTTCAGCACAAAGAATCTAAGCTCCACCACCGAAGTTCGAACTTATGACGACCATCCATTTAGAATGGTAACCGGTATGCTGTTACACTACATGTAAATATGTAATTGGCCCGTCCCTCCTGACTACATGGTAGGGGATTAACGTATTTTTTCTAAAGTGTTGCAATTTTATTATGAAAATAAATTCTATAACCTCCATTGATATTTTATTTTCCACATATTTTAAGAAAAAAAAAAAGATATAATATAAATTCTTATATTATTCTCATATATTTTTATGATGTAAGAATATTTAAGTCTTTACAATAATGCCCTTTCTTTGTCTTTTAAAGCCTAAGCTCCATTTTTCTTTCTGGAGCAAACCATTTCGATAGAAAGAAACAGAGACTTACGGGCAGTGGAAGAAAGTGGGAAATTAAAAATCAAAAAAGTTTTCATCTCCCATTTTCTTCAAGTTTTATTTAGGTATAAGCTCCCTTCATTCTACTTCGATCTGTTGGATATAATTTTTTTAGACTAAACTGTTGTGATTTAATTTATTAGTTTGTGTTGGCTTAGCCTTGTGATTTTGGTGTACCTTGTTTCCTTTTTATATACTAGTATTTTATTTACGGGTTGTTTTTTAGTGAATAAATAGGTTCTTATTTTGCTCTCACATAAACTTGGTGTTTGATAAATTAGGATTTTTGGCATCAATCACGTGGGTCAGCTAAATATCTCATATTTGGAAGATTTTTGGTAAGTGATTAACTTTTTTTTTTTTTTTTTTCTATTTCTTCCCTTTATTCTTGCAAAATTATAGAGGTGAGAAGCATTTTCCAAAATTCATTACTTACATTTGGAATCTCTATTGTTTATATATTTTGAATACCTATTTTGGTTAGAATATTTCCAAAATATATATTTGAACTTTGGTTCGAATATGATTTGTGAATTATTTTAAAGATATTCTTGAGCATGTCTAAATATGGATATTATGACTATATGAATATGCGTAATTCTACTATAGTCAAACTGCTAAAGTAACTTTAGTAGGCCGGTTTCTTTGGGTTTTTTATTTTTTTTTGGTGCGCCGCGTTACACATACTAGTAATACTCAGGGAGATGCGTGAAAACTCTTTTCGGTAAATTTCAAAAAACGTGTAAGATTTACATCATAAAGAATTGAGGGGTCTATTAATGTTAATATATTTTGCTACCGCCATCAAAACCTACAAACAATTATTCCTAACAAATTCCGGTTCTTAATAATGTCCAAAACACTTGTACCCAAAAGATAAAGAGTTTGCTACAACACCATAAGTACTCACACACTCACAAACGTAACATATTACTTTTATTGAGATAAACAATTAAATACAACAAATTAGTACATAATTTCAAGAATAAACCAAAATTATAAAGAGATAAACAGATAACCCTTCCTTATTTCTCCAGATGCTCACTTCTTTTCCTTATTGTTTGTTGAGGCATTGATATGATCTGCTATAGCCAAGAGATTAGGTTGGAGCCGAGGAAGACTGCATACCAACGTGGAGCTGGTTCCTCGACGTTTCGTCCCTCCAGGTGTCGGTGTGGAACCCGCTCACCAATGCGTCGTTCGCCCGCTGAGTGCCGACGCGGAGCCGGCTCATCGACGCGTCGCTCCGCCGAGTGCCGACGCGGGGCCGGTTCATCGAAGCGTCGCTCATCCAAGTGTCGACGCGGGGCCGACTCGTCACCGTGCCGGCGCGAGGCCGGCCCACGAGATTCGCCCA